ATTAATTATATGTAGGTGCTGTACAGTCATTTAAAAAAGACCTATTTCTAGCATGTCCTTGTCCTTGACAACAACGTTACAGTTTGCAGTGTGAAAAAGAACCAAAATTCCACCCGACTGTGCCTCCGCCTACAGCCTACTTTGATACAAACAAGTCACCAAGATACCAAACAGGCAGTGTTACAAAAGTATCACTGCACCACAGCAAAATTGAATGTGACACATCTCACATGTAAGGCACCTTAAAGCAGTCTAATGCAGGCTCTGTATGTGAACTCAGTCCTTTATTAATAGTCCCTACTTTCAGATTAAAAAATGCTACTTAATAAATAATTAGCTAAGTGATATTGCATATTGTTTAAAGAAACAACAGTTTGCACATGAGCACAACAGTGAACTGCACGTGTGAACAGCCGTAAAATGTTTCAGTGAAAAACTAAAAATAGGAATCTGGCATTTGGATGAAAATGTGTTATTTGTGGAGACAACTTCCATTTTCCAAAATGTGTGGGAGTCATCTAGCCATCTGAGAAACTATTATTTTATTTATGCAAGACAGAGAACAGAGCAAATATCATTTGCAGCAATTGTACTGGAGAGCTCACAAAACATATTGCTTTCTGAAGGGCCCAATTAGAAGTTTGTTGATAAATCACTGCAGATCTTTGTTTTCTGTTTTTCCTCTGCAGTCATTAGTGTGAGTGTGAAGCCAAAAGTTGGGCTGGTAGAGCAATGAAAGGCTGGAAAAGTTGTGTTATCCTATTATTAACACGCGAGCAATGTGATTGAGTATTGGGTATGTAAAAGGACATTCATGAGGAAAGAATGAGTTTAGCAGTTTCAGGATAAAGTGTGATGCAAAACAGCAAAGAAATTTAAGGGTTTTCATGAATTACAGTATTCAAAATTCATATTTGAAATTCAGAACAGAACTCAGCACTGCGTTAAACCAAACAAGTTCACTCGTCAAAATAGTTGAAAGCAAGCAAACTTTTCATTTTACATTTTAGTTTTCCTCATTTTGGTGCTAGCAGATGCTAGAGCACATTTGCAGTAAACCATAGGAGTATGGAAAGCCAGAGATTTTCCATTTTTGTTTTGTAATACATGGAGAATGTGGACGGGTATTTTCTGGGCCAAATTAAAAGAAAAAAAAGTTGTCATCTGGATGGCACCATACTTTGCCCCAAATCCTGGATTTATCATTCAGCATTAATGGGTGTGCTACCCATGCCGAGGGGCATTAATGCACCCCCCATACAATCATGAATGCTGCTTTAAAAATTTTCTTGCTTATAAATATGGGGTGTATAAAAGAGAATCATCTGATTTCAGCGATTTAATCCCACAGCTGAAGCACGTCCTCTTAGAAATAGGGGATTTGTGAGTTTCATATGGTTGGCGGTAGGTAGCATAACAAGAACAGTGGCTCCACTGAAACTAGACATGCTACCAAAAGCATAGGGGAAGTTTGACTAGCTATCATGTCTGGATACATGCTGTGCACTCGGAGGGGGAGACATTGAGTATTTGTGAGCATTGTAAGTTTTGTACGCAAAAACCTTTAAAATACATACTTAATTATAATTAACCACAAGTTTCCATGTCCATTACTTAACATTGGAGGATGATTAATGGAAGAGTGTGCATGTTGCAAAATTTTTTTGGGGAGCTGCAGGTGTGACCTGGAAAGTTACCAAAGTGGTGGCAAGTTAAAGAAGGAAAGGAGGAAAGTATAATTGCTAAACATGAAGAATAATGAGAGAAATGTGCCTGTGTATTAACAAGTAATTATGTATTGAAAGTATGGGCGTTATCTATGGAAAGAAAAGTAAGAAAATGAAGTCGGTGAGGCAAAAAAGGCATAAAAAAGAGAGAGTGAGAGGCACATAATTACAGATGGCTGCAGTGGAATGTGACAGAGCCGGAGAATAAAAAAGAACAGGATAGAAAAGCAGAGCAAAGGGGCTCAAGGGAAAGCTGAAGGTGAGGCGATAATGAGAGGAGGCAAGAAAAAAAAGACAGATGAGGGGAAAAAAAACCTGTGTCAGAGAAAAAAGGAGAAACCCATTGATGAGATGAGGATTAGATGGTGCTGATTAATGATCATTGATTGTTTACCTCGGCATGTCTCTTTCTACTTCTGTGATTTCACTCGCCTGCCTGTCAGTCTCTTCTTTCTTTCTTTCTTTCTTTCTTGCTTTCTTGCTGTCTTGCTGTCTTGCTTTGGAACCTGCTGTGTGTCATAATGTCAGTACAACACTATGTTAAACAAAGTCCAGGAGGAAAAATCTCACATAAATATCCCAAATCCTTTCATTTCATGCCGCAGGGGAGCTGTTCATCGATCCCTCATCCTCTGCATGGCACCATAGACAAACATTTACTGCAGTCAGCGGCCAAAATTCAGCTCCACTGACTTTCACTTTTTATGGAGTTATTTTAAAGACACATGATCTCAAATCGAGTTAAAATGTGATGTTTACAACAATCTGGTATGAAATTGGTAGATATTCCATGGCTGGTTATTCTGTGTGTCACTGGAAGTTTGATTCATTTATTTATTCATTTATTTTGTTAAATGAAACCCATAAAACCATATTTCAATGAAAATGGACATCAAACAAACATCCATTGTTCTGGTTAATTGCATATAACCAAAATAATAACTAGAAGAGCTATAATAAAAGCATTAAAAGAGGTTAACAAGCTTTCCTCATAGAAGCACATCAACCCCCAGCCCTTTCATGCCAATAGAACACCACAAATTGCACCCTTGTGCACTTATATTTGTAAGTTTAATGTAATGGATTGCAATCTAGAAATGTTTCTACCTTGATTTATAACAACAGCCACATGGCAGGAGGTGACAGCAACAACAGAGAGAATAAAAAAAAGGGGGAATGCACTTGATGGCAGACAGACACTGCAAGGAATGCTGTTGGAGAAAATGAGTTTTGTTCTCCGGAGGCTCAGAGAGAGAAAAAAATAAGAAGGGAAGAATGAAGGAAGGAAGGAAGAAAGAAAGATCGTTGTCTTGCTTGAGGCCTTGTTGGGTGTAGTTGTGAAAGGACGAGAGAGGATTTGTCATTCACATCCACTTCTCTCTCTTTATCTTGCTCTCTCACACACACACAGACACACTCACTTTGCCATCTGTTCCTCCTTGAGGAACAGTAAACCCAAATCTCCTCCAAAAAATGCAAAATGCAGCGATATGTCTCCACAGTTTATGTATGTGCATTGTGAGGAAGTTATATTTGTCTTGCTGGTGTCTGACGAGGCATTGCTGCTGAGCTGCAGCCAAAATACTCCATTTGACCTAGATCGTCTCTGAGCCCGGCTGGCGTATGCATGCGTGTGTGTTTATGTGTCTGTGCATCCTAGTTCTGTCTATTTCTCAGCAATAAAATGACTTTTGGACATTGTCCATAATGATATAAGCTTTCCCTGCCTCCCTGTCATCTGTCTCTCTGATAATCGTTGGTTTTGTGCCAGCTTTCACGGCAGTCCTCTTTTTTTATTTCTGTTTCTCTGACTTTAGTTTGATTTCCCATCACTCTGTTTCAATTTTTTTTTCTTCTCTTCCATTCCTGCAAGGGAACTGGGAAACTTACAAAGTAAATGTCATCTACAGTGTCTGCGTGTGGATGTGCGAAAAAGGGTTTATATGTTACAGTGACATAGTGCTGACCCTGTGCTTTACCTCTCAAGCTAAACCTGCACACCCCTAAGTGTTTCCTGTATTTTGAGCTGTGAAGATATAATAAAACTCGAATGGCCCACTTTCCTCTGCGGTTGCTGTGAAAAGGTACCTTGGATTTTAAGCAAACCCAGACAATCCCACAATTTGACCCTTCTTCCCACCTTAGTGAAAGCGAGAATAAGAATTTCCTCTTGACAGGAAGAGACCTTCAGCTGAACCACGCTCAGACATAAGCAGCCATTTACTGTGAACAGTCAGCGGAGAGAAGTTAGAGGCAATACAAAAACTGAAGGAGAGAGTAAACAAAATGAAATGATGCAGACTGAGTAGATGGGGCACATTTGGGAAGCTGACATAAGCTGTCAAAGACTGTACTGCAGTTTATTTGTTGGGATAGCATCTGGTGAAGTCAAAAGCCTATAGTGGAGGAGTTTCTATGAGGATGTCAGTCATGGTTCTATTCGGCATTAAAAACACTGGAGCTTGGCGCCAGTTTAGCTCTGTGCACTAAAATGGTGGCCACATGCCGTATGGCTAAGAGCGGCCGGCCTGGGTTCGAGTCCAACCCACAGTCCTTTGCTGCATGTCTTCCCCCTCCTCTCTCTGCCCCTGCTTTCCTGGCCTCGCCTCACTGCGTCTGACAAATAAAGCTGAAAAAGGCCAAATAAATAAATAAATACGCAGGAGCTCAACTACGAGGGGAAATAAAGGACCAGTATAAGATTCATTAGAAGCTTCCTTGATAGCACATGTATATACAGTTAGATTTATACATTTTTGGGCAGTGAGACTTGCCTCTGTACACCACCACACTGGATTTTAAAATCAAACAATCAGGATGTAACTGTGCAGTGCAGAAATGGCCATTCTCTGTGTGATTTAATGGAATTAGATGACATGAAAAACTGTCCAAACTCCAAAGTGATCGTGGGAAATAACTCTGTGGTAGTATTGTGATAATATCAACTACTGACATTATTTTCATTTCTCCTAATATTTCTCCTGCAGTCTTGCATACTTCAGCTGCATTTTGGCTGTCTTGGCACAAAAAAATGCACCAAATGTGGAGATACTGTACTCTACAAGAACTCCTCCTCTGCTTTTGTGCAGTATTGTGGTGTTCCTGCAGGGCCTTCTTGCTTGTCTGTTTTGATTTTGATGTTTGACGTTGGTCTTCTCTCATATTATTGACATCTGTTACTCAAAAATTAAATCCTGTTTGGATGTGAAAAAGTGGAGCACAGATAATTGGACTGAATTAATTCTAGTCATCATTTTATTTGTATCTCTGCAGTGATGGATGGGCGGACAGGTATGATGTGACAGATGGCTATGTTAAGGAAGCGGCCGGCGGGATTACCATCAAGCTCCAGTCGGCTGACGTGAAATGGTTTGATGAATACTACCTTAAACTTCGTCCTGAAAACAATCACAGAAACCCTTGGTTTCCAGAGTTCTGGCAGCATCGCTTTCAGTGTCGACTAAAAGGTCACACCCAGGAGAACAGCAAGTACAACCGCACCTGCAGCAGTAAGTACAGACAGAAATAGAAATACAGTCAAAAATAGACTGCCGTTATTGCACTTGAACATTTTTAATGGTAGAGTTACTATAGTTTACATTAGGTTTGTTATTGGTCAAGTCCCTTTACTCACATAAGGGATAACACCAGAAATTTACAGCTGTGCTTGAATACTGAAAGAAAAGAGAGGCTGTATTGTTGGCAGACAACATATATTGTTTTGAGTCTGCATAACAGGCCACAGTACCAATCTGCATTTCTTTTGATAGGTTTTTGTAATGGCTGCTGTTAATGCAAATAACAAACAAAGAGAATGTGTGAACACACAGTCACACACCTACACACAGACCACATGGATGCACAGAGCTTTCCGGTTCATCTGCAGCCATCTCGTGTGGCTGTGAGTGAACCCACCCTTTATTTTCAGCGTCTATCCGCCCCCATGTCTTTCTCTCTCTGTTCCTTTCCCCCCATTCATAGGCAAAACAGTGTGTGAGCGTAGCATCAAAGGGACCCGTGTCTCATGTATTCTAATGAAATGGGACGTGAAATACAAATGAACAGGACACAGACAGAGACAGAAAGAAAATGAGACACGGAGGTGGAAAGTAACTGATGAGGAAGAGGAATGACAGCGGTCTTTGATGTTTGGCGGGGACAGTTTTTTCATAAAACCTAAAGGGGATATTAAGAGTTTCTCTGATATGTTTGCCTTTTTTCTACCTACTGTTCCTCACTAACCCAACTGTCCATTTCCCCCAACTCTACTCCTTCACCTCTGCAGAGCGAGAGTCACTTCGGCAGCAATATGCACAGGACACTAAGATGGGATTTGTCATTAACGCCATCTACTCAATGGCATATGGCCTGCATAACATGCAACGGTCACTCTGCCCAGGTTACAAGGTAGGTGCTGCTCTGGTGGATGAATAAGGAGGGGTACACTAAGACATACTACAGACAAAATGAGGGCAATGAAGAGATGGAGAGGGAAAATAGCAGGACTTACAGAGCCTAAGTATTGATGCCATGGTACAGTCGCCACGCGGCCTATTTTTGACTTGTTATCACATTATGTAAGTTGGTATCCAAAAGTCTGGGAACACCAGTAAAGATCCTTCTCCAAGGTCTTGCTGAGATTTCTGAAGGGTTTCAGCAGTGCCTGTGGAGCAGTTACTTTACTATTTTCAGACTATTTTTGAGCTCATTATCTGTGACAGCTGTTTTCCCCAAACATATATTTATTTCCGCTGCAAAAGTAAAACATGTTACAGGAGCTTTCACAAACTCCTGCAGGTTAAACTGGGCTGATCGAGCAGTTTCTATGGTGATTACATATAAGAGACTCTCAGCAAACTCACCAAAACAGACCACCAGCTTAGCAAGACTAATGGAAAAGGACGAAAGGATAAGAATTAGATGTAAAATGGTTACATTTTAGGTCCTGTCCTAGTTTGCATTTGGTATTTAAAGCTCTAAAGATTTGTGCAAATACATCCCATACTCTAACAGGTAAAGAAAATTAATGAATATATTAATTATTTCCTGTTTGCATCTCCACACACAGCACTGTGTTACTGTGATGAAGTTACTTTTTCATCTCTTAGCAAACAAAGCTTGTTGTGCTGATGTTCTGATGATGTCCTGATTGTGCTCTGAACAAGTCAAATGCCATACACCCCCTCTCAGACCTCAGGTCTAGCCATAATCTAATGCACACTTAGTCTTTCTTTGCTTACAATAACAGTTTGACGTCTGACGCTATCACTTAGTTCTGATGCCACGATTCCAACTTTCAGCACACTACTTAGTAAGTAATGTTTTGCTAGAAAATTGAGGCGCAGCTAATAAAAGGTGAAAAATGCAAGTGTATTTGCTTGAGCAAGCCTCTAGCTGTCATGTTTCAAAGAAAGGAAGAAACCGAACAAGGAAAGCTGACCTTTTTGTAAGATTTTATTTTGGGGCTCTTTTTAGGCTTTAGTTTTGACAGGACACTAAGTGGACAGGAGAGAAGGGAGGGAGACACTTGAACCAAGGCTCCTGCAGTAGTATTTCAGAATTTGGCACAGCAACTCAAATTTGCGAGCTACATGACTACCCAAGAACATTTTTTTAAAAGAGGTTTACATGGAAATATAATAGACTTTGGACAACACTTTGCATTTATTCAGGAAAATGTAAATTAAAATGATGCCAAACACTGATAGTATATGTCAAACTTCATATTCACTTAGAAATTCAGAAAACAAAATGCTAAATTTTAAGTATAGAGCAGCACGATTCTGTATTTTTGGCACCAAACGCCGGTGCTGCTTCACCTCTACATACTTTGTGGGGATGACTTAAAATTCATTAATGCAAAAATGTCAACATGGACTTAATTTTAACTAAACTTTATGAGATGATTGTGAAAATGTTGCACTGTTTGGCTTGCATAGAATAGGCACTGCATAGGAAACCATACTGCCACGCTGTCCTCACTTTTTCTAGAATGTGGCGAGCCGACTCACCTCAACAGCTGATTGGTTAAATTTTATCTTTACATTGTGTTGCTTCCAAAGTACAGTGAACATGTTTTGAGAATAATAATTAATTGAAAGGCCAGTTGTACACAATTTACTTCCATAAAATTATGGAAATTTATGTTGTTAAAGTTGATGGTCATAACTGTTTTTCTGGGTGCGACATGACCATCTATGTGTTTTAAGGGCCTGTGCGATGCCATGCGACCCATTGATGGGGCTAGACTTCTGGACTTTTTGATGAAAACCAACTTCACCGGTGTGTCAGGGGAAGGAATCTTATTTGATGAAAACGGAGACTCACCCGGCAGGTAGGTGCTTTAAACTGTGCAGAGACGTCATAGATCTCTATGGAGTGCAAACAACCTCCCACTGTTGTTCAATGTGCACCTTTTGTTTACAGGTATGAAATAATGAACTTCAAAAAGATGGGGAAGGACTACTATGACTACATAAACGTCGGCAGTTGGGACAACAGAGGCTTAAAAATAGATGATGATGAAATCTGGCCCAGCAAAGAAAGCGTGATCAAGTCAGTCTGCAGTGACCCCTGTGACAAAGGGCAGATTAAGGTAAGATGAGTAATTTTCACACAGTAGACCCGGAATTAGATTAAAATAACTGAATAATAAAATTATTAGTATGATGAGTGTTTGAGGAATTTTCATTATCATCACAAACTGATTTGTATCATGTTACGTTACCAGCCTACACCTCTTTCTGAGGTGAAAGAGGTGTAGGCTGTATTCTACTTTTATACCAGACCTCTTTGCTCCTCCTACAGATCATTTATGTGACATGACTGAAAGTAAAGCTTCACATTAATACAGTGGCTTCGTTTGAACTCTGCTTATGGCGTGAGTGCGTATTCTGTCTCCTTCAGGTGATCCGTAAAGGTGAAGTGAGTTGCTGCTGGACGTGCACCCCCTGCAAAGAAAATGAATTTGTGTTTGATGAGTACACCTGCCAAGCCTGTGAGCTGGGCTCCTGGCCTAATAATGACCTCACAGGTCGGTATCTTAAAAGATATAAAGAATATTCACATGATGGATTTTTTTTTTCTTAATACAGCCTGTCAGTGTGTATTACATATTAGCATTGCACAGGAAATCCTGCACAAGTTACCCTAGAGAGAGAAAGTGAGAGGCATCCATTTACCATACCCTCCTCTTCCCTCCTCCTAGTTTCTTCTTCTCCACTCCCTTTTCCTCCCAGCCACTCCCTCTCTCTCATATCGTTAATTTGTTACCAACATGGTCACTCGTGTTTTAATTATTCTGCAACGAGAGCGACTTGCCATGCAAATACACTTCAGTTGCAATGAAAATTTTTTTCCTCTCCATTGCGTTCGAAGAGGTTGCATATTGCCTTGTTGTTCTTTCAGCTTCTCATTATACTGCACGCTAGCTCCTCACCAAGCTCAATGATTAAAACATGAATTGAGACCTGCTGAAAATTCAGAGGGAGCTTCTCTGTCTGAGACAGAAGAATCTTTAAAAACTGAAACAGGGAGTGAATCAGTGCGAAAATGATCAGCAGAAAGCTGACACTGGAGAAAGAAGATAAAGGAACGGAGGCTTAATTGGGGTTATCCGTGTGTTCGTTAGTGTTCGTGACTGTGGGCTCAGAGTGTGTGACTACATGCATGTGTCTCGTTTCATCAACAATAAGTGCTGCGTGTCCCCCTGCGGGGCTATATGGAACAGTAATAATGAGGTGTAAACAAACTGCTTGCCCTGTTCCACCAGCAGACATTTTGATCTTTCTCCTTGAGGCCAAAAGAAATCTGAGGGAAAAAAATATATAAGATATAAAGGGGAGGGGGGAAAAGGTAAAGGAGCAGAGGGAAAAGGTAAAGCAAGGTCTCAGCTGACAAGGACAGAAGCAAAGTGGGAGCGAAAACCATTGAAAGGATATGGAATCGTTTTTCAGACAGCAGTGGAACAAAAACAAGAAAAGACTGGAAGAGGAAAAAGACTTAAAAAATAAAGTCATGGTGAAAGTGGGATAGAGATGAATAGAGGCTCCATCATGAGCAGCAGCAAGGGAGAGTGAAAGAAGGAGAAAAAGGGAGGATTAGCTATGGGATTTGAGCCTCTTCGCTGATTGGTAAAGTTCCACAGTCTGAGTCTGAGATTGTTTGAAAAACTTTATTGTGACTGCTCACTTCAAATGGTCACTCTTCCTTTCGTGCACCAGTTTGGTTTACACTCAAGCGTTGCAGCATTTCCTGCAGGTTCCATGAACTAACTAAATATCAAATTGCTGACTTTGCAAATGCTTTCTGACTGCTCTGAGAAAGCCCACGAGGAGAAACACTGATCTGGGATTTCCCACCCAGCATCTAGATTAATTGGAGCTAAATTTCCACCCACCTCACGTTGTCATTAGTGGGTGGTCTTGAGCTTGTATGACTGGAAAAGACAGGTACTGTAGTTATTGTTTTTGAGTTTGTTTATTATGTGGAACAGCTGTATAGGTATAGATTTAACAGCATGAACATAATATCACAAATATTCTTAAGATGACAAAGAAACAGATACGGATACATTAAATTATTTTTAATTGTATTTCAGAAAGATTTTAATTTGTTTTCATTCCATTAATATTTCACTTTGGGCTTTTCAGTCATTTCAGTCTGAAAGTCCTCCCTGACTTTGCTTCTCTGTTTGTTTACTGGCCCTTTGGCTCCCATTTATGCTTTTGTTTACGCCCTTAGACCTAACCTCATTACTGATTTAATAAACTTTGTTAACCATGTTAAATACAAAGTTTATGGATTTCTTAAGTTATTTCTTTAATGATCTTTTTCTCTGTTTGCATGCAGAGAAAATGGAAGAAAAAAAGGTTAAAAAATAAAATATACAGGGGGCAGAAAGAGAATTAGAAAGAGACTATTTGCATTTCTTCCCTCTAAAGTATGTCTAGACCGACCAATAATTCAGCAAGCATTAAGACGGCTCGTAATTAGAACTGTCCCTTTAATTAATGACACTTTATCTCCTTGCCTATGAGGAAGACAGAGATGGAGGTAGAGAATTACAGGAGTAGGTGGGAGGTATGAGGATGAGGAGAGATAAGGAAGATATTCGGGAAAATAGAAGCGGGCAGAGTGATGGATGGATTATTACAAAGAAATGGTGAGCAACAGGAGACAGACAAGAAATGGTGAATGACAGGGAAGGAGGAAGAAAGACCAGGAGGATGGATAAGAAGAGGAAAGTGAAGTACAAAGACGTATTTGTAAAGTATTATTAGAAGTAGTATTCCAAATAGCAGTGAAGGAGGTGCAAGGGGAAAAAATAAAACTGTAATTTGTGATAAATAAAGGTCCCATAGTTCAATAGTGGAGAGATTTCATACTGATAGTAATTAAACAGTCATCATCTCATTTGGGCACCTACACCAACAACCCCCTTCCTTCCGCCCTGTTTGCTTCTCATGCTTTTTATACTAAATCAGACCCACACCTGTATACAAAAGTTGCATACTTTGCAGGCAAAGCTCGGCACAACGGATAACTCGCAAGCGTTTCTTGCCTGGAGGTCTAACATGTACAACTCTAACCACGACCTGTGCAAGCTGTTGGACCTTTAGAAAGCAACCGAAGACCAATTTTATTCAGAATGGTTAAAACTGGATATAAGAAAAAGAAAGTGTGAGAATGAGCATAAAGTAAAGGCTGAACAATAGTTTGCTATTGTTACCTAAATCTTATTATCCATATATATTCCTGTGTGTCACATGTCAAATAAACTGATGATCAGTGAATAATCTTTTCTGAAAAAATACATTAACAAACTGATGTCCCCCACGTCCCCAGGCTGTGACCCAATACCAGTGGAATACCTTCGATGGGGAGACCCTGAACCCATTGCTGCTGTGGTATTTGCCTGCCTCGGTCTAATGGCTACATTTTTTGTCACTGCAGTCTTTATTAGGTAACATATCCCTTTTATTTCATTGGATTTTTGAAATTGTTTTCCTTCCTGTTTATTTAAATTCTTGCTTGCGTGTCTTTATGAATGTGGATATTCAGATTCCGGGACACTCCAGTCGTGAAATCTTCCAGTAGGGAACTGTGTTACATAATACTGGCAGGTATCTGTTTGGGATACCTGTGTACCTTTACCCTCATAGCCAAACCCCACGTCATCCATTGCTACCTCCAGCGACTGGGAATAGGCCTGTCACCTGCCATGAGCTACTCTGCACTTGTCACCAAGGTAAGGCCTGAGTGAAATGGTGGGTCCACAAGTTGTGAAAAGTGTGCAGTTAATGTGTTTTTCATTGATATGTCTGCATAATAACAGTGAGTGCTCTGTTGGAACGGAGAACGCAGATTGCAGCATATTCAGTATGTACTATATGTCCTGATGATGTTTGGAATCTGACCCCAGACAAACCGCATTGCTCGGATCCTGGCAGGAAGCAAGAAGAAGATCTGCACAAAGAAACCTCGCTTCATGTCTGCCTGTGCTCAGCTTATCATTGCCTTCCTCCTCATACTGCTACAGCTGGGCATCATTGTGGCTCTCTTCCTCATGGAGCCCCCGGAGGTAGGCTCTGTGTGTTTTAATAGAAAAAATATCATCAGAAGTAGGAGACAAATCAGAAGATTAATAAAATAAAACAAAATAAACAATAACCAGAGGATGTTAAGTTTGAAATATAACAGATTGCAGATTTGCCCTATTAGAAATTAGGAGAGTGTCTTATTGGATTTTTGTATTTTGAGTTCTGTTAATTGTGTTAAACTACTTCACCGGTTTCACATGTTTCCTCAGCATCTGATTGTCAACAGAAATTTCACTGATTATAAATAATTGATTTGATTGGCAGATAAAAGGCAGTAAGAATTCAAACAAGACCAAAGCTTAAAATGTTAGTGTATACCCCTAAATGGATGTAGCCTAGCTGGATATTGAGACATCTACTTGTAAGTCTGTAGTTGTTCAATTTAAAATTTTCTGACAGCACATATAATTTGTAAAGTTGATTACCATCAAATTTGGTTCTTATCTGCTGAAATGCCTGAATTCATTTTCAATAAACCAATAAATATTGTACATCAGAAGTGGGCAGCATGATCATGAAATGTCAGTGAAATTACTTCCATAACTGTAATTTTACATGCCGCCATTGACTTACTACGGTCAATTCTTATTTGTATTAAAGACGTGACAGCAACAGTGTTGTCACACTTTGGATAACACACATGTCACATTTCCTCTGGTGTCTGCAGGTCATCCACGACTATCCCAGCATCCGCCAGGTCAACCTCATTTGCAACACCACGAACCTCGGCGTGGTTGCCCCGCTGGGATACAACGGCCTGCTTATCCTTAGCTGCACCTTTTATGCCTTCAAGGTACGAGATAGTGTTTGTCACTTTTTCCCATTACCACTTCGATATCAAAAATACCTGTGACAATTTTGCATTATTTCTATAACACAGTATCGAACACGACTGAAACATGTTGTTACAACTGGCAAAGCTGCCAGTTAGAGAACTCTAAACGCTGTTGACATGCAATAAAAGTTCAGTGTGTTGTTATCCATAGAGATACTCGGTATGAGTGTCTCTACATATGAGGAGGTTTACACAGACATAATGTGAAAAAAAATGATTAAGCCACTGTGGTTTTGCCTCTCTAAAATCTTTTGGCGGCAGTAAATGAAATTATGTTACCCCAATCAAATTATAAAGTCAATGTTGTGATTATCCATGACCAGCGGCCATCCATTTTCTGCGGAGTATGAGAGCAGAATTGTAAAAAGAGACAGAAGATAAATGCACTGCACTTCAAACAAATAAATTAACCGAGTTTTAAACACAGCAGCTGAGTAAACCAATTTAACTTTGCAGGCTAAATGCCTCACCTAATTCACTCGCACAGATCGGTGTGGCCAGCAATAAAATGACAACTGTAAGGGGTTAAGAGTGTGTATCGCTGTATATACTGTAAAGAACGTCTACATTTGCTTTATTTTTCTTGATCACAGCGAAATGCACAACAGCAATTGTGAAGGGAAATGAAGGAATGTTTACTTATGCTTCTCTTTCTTTTTCCCTCCAAGACCCGCAACGTCCCAGCTAATTTCAATGAGGCTAAGTACATTGCCTTTACAATGTACACCACCTGTATTATCTGGCTGGCATTTGTACCCATCTACTTTGGCTCTAACTACAAAATTATCACCATGTGCTTCAGTGTCAGCCTGAGCGCCACTGTGGCTCTGTGCTGCATGTTTGCACCCAAGGTAAGGTTGCTTTGCTTAAATTGCTTTTTATTTCATTCTGATTGCTTGTCTGTTGTTTTTATCAATATTACCGGAATCCGACTATAGTTGTTATCTAAATCTGTGCATAAACTACATTAAGCTTCAAATGAGCATTGCAACAGAGCTCACTGTAGTTCCCCACCAGTTGTGAGAATTTGAGTCAAATATTTGAATAGATAAATGCTAAGATTCAAGAGAACATCTCTTTTGATATTTTAATCACAGATGTTTCAGCACTTGTAATATCAGGATCTAGATTTTCTTGTACAGTGTCACTACAGTAAAAAAAAAAAAAGCCTAAACAAGAAATTCAGTCAATCAAAAATACTTTTGAGAATTTTCTTTTTATAATATGTTTAGAATATTAAGGTGAGTCATGAGAGGCTTGATTATTATTCTAAAAAAATAAGATTAAAAGACCAATTTGTGTAGCCAACGCAATCAAAGTCTCTCCAGAAATTTGCATAGTGCCGTTAATCTTTGCAGTAAATGACACCAAGTAGTCACTGTTCATATCTAACCGTTTCCATCAGGTGTACATCATTCTGGCTAAACCAGAGCGTAATGTGCGTAGTGCCTTCACCACTAGCACGGTGGTGCGCATGCATGTGGGCGATGGCAAATCATCCTCAGCTGCCAGCCGCTCCTCCAGTCTGGTTAACCTGTGGAAACGGAGAGGCTCCACTGGAGAGACACTCAGGTATTTCTGCGTGTGTGGATTGTGTGTACCCAAGAGGCTTGTTGACCAGGTTAATGCCGGGTTGCTCTTCCGTTATATTCCAAGGCACCATTTCTCCAATAGCCCACTCTGAGACTATTTATGGTGTGTGCATGTACGTGTGTGTCGGTGTGTTTAAGCTCTCTAAGAGATTGATTCTCTGAACTCCATCGAGTCTGCCTGACTGTTCTTCTGACCCTGACATGAACTGCAGACAATTGCCTAATGGAGATGCAGCAAAGGAAGAGATTGGAATGAACTGAAGAAGGGTTAAGGAAAATACTAAAAAGAGAATTATAAATGGAGAAGAAGATGCATAGAGAGAGAAAGAGAGATGAAGAGGGGAAGTGATAAGAAAAGAAGAAAAGAAAAGGGTAAAGGAGTAGTGTGATCAAAGAGACATAATAGCTTTCACACCCTGCTTAAGGCCATCCACAAGTCATCTACAGTGACAAGGAACCGATCAAAAGACACAAAGGGAGTGACGCAAAGCCACTTGCCCGAAATGAAAAGGGGAGAAAAAATAGACAAGGAATATTTTTGTTTGTCAGCAGGTTCCTCCAGCACACCCCGCTTGGCAAGCAAGATTTCAATCACACTCTTATATGAAATGTCACAAGTGTTTCCTTCTTCATTCGCTTTACTTTGCTCTTCCCCTTTTCTCTTATGGTCCTGTCATCCTCTGTGGGCGGTGATAATTGGCAGAGGGCTGTCTGTCTCTTCAGACACTGTTGCCTTTGAGGTGCTGTCATTGTGTAAACTGAACAGACACATACAGACATGAGTCCAGCAAACCCGAGGAAACAGAAAAGACATGTTTGACTGATGTCTGAACTGTGGAAAAATACTGGATTTACCTTCAGGACATTCTCAGAAATTAAGGGAGTAAACAGACCTTAACAGGGTTCATCGACTTGTCCATACATGAATCAGTTTTGTTTTCTGGTGGAAACTTTTATAAATGTTCTACCTGGAATCTTTTCAGTGGGTTCTGATAAATAGTGATAAACCTGAAATCTTCAGTGAAAGGTTTAAAGTTTGGAAACCAAACATTAAAAGTAAGAAACAAATGTGATTTGAATTTTGCTCGTCTCATTTTAAAAATTGGCTCCCTTACATCACAGGGAGCCAAATCTGGCAGTGGCAAGCAGCAAGTGTGTTGTGTGGTCAAACTATTCCTGCCTTGTTCATTGCACTGAGAGCAGGTGCATGATGGCTTGTGGTGTTATGTGCCAAATATTCTTCCTCGGATGCCCACAGATATCACAGTAGTAATATGTGTGGTGAAAGTGACTGTAGTCAAATTCAAGGTGATTATCAAACAAAAAGAAGATGAGTACATTCTAGGATGTGGTCTTTATCTTGTGCCCTTTCTTTGGAGGCTTGGACACAATGGACTATTCCAATATAAACTGCTGTTACCTCTGTGGGTAGTAGTGTGAGACCCAGCTCTCATCAACAAGCTGATTCCTTCATAAAAACAAAAAAGTCAGTTTCAGATAAAAGTTGATGTTTGCTCTCAATCTGTAATTTAGATTTAAATAAAATCTAAATTACCTTAATTCTGTGAAATGTCTTATCTTTCGTAACTTCTGTCCAGCCTTTAACAGATCAGAATTCATATGTAACAACTTGATCTGCGCCATAATCACACAAATGACATGCAAAAGTAATTAAAAAAACATTGTAGGGTTTTTGAATTTAGATTTCCTAATATTTCAGTGAGTGCAAAGTAAAGGGTTAATGATAGATGATCACACTTTTAGACAAATGTGTGAGTAAGTGTGTGAACAAACCTGTAAGGGTGTAGGTATTGATCATAATTGATTTGCAAATTCCAGTGGAGCTGCAAACCTTACTTGCTTCAGTGCAACATCACCACTGATGATGCTCCACTAGTTTCAAAGCAAATATTTGTCCTTTTGGTGGCATGGATGGCTCATACTTCTATATTGTTTTAGTAACTTCTGTTTATGATTCTTAAAGTGGTTTCTCTCTTCTTGTAATGGCTCTGGTAGAACCGTAGCCCCTCAAGAAGCCTTCCACAACCCCTATTTCTAATAGGATCAAATTTAAGATAAGATAATCAACTCTTTCTTGGCTTTGTTAGGTTTGCTCAATCAACATGCATGGCGTATGGTTTGTGTGTGTGTGTGTGTGTGTGTGTGTGTGTGTGTGTGTGTGTGTGTGTGTGTGT